CAGTGTGCAAGCATTGTGCAACACGTTTTGTTTATGCCAACAGCAACACGACCAACATGTCAGGCTAACAATCAACATATACTGAACCGAAAACTGTGACCCCGAAACCGTGAACCGAACCGAACCGTGGATTTTGTGAACCGTTCCACCCCTAGTAACTATGGGCTTCAACATAATTATCTAAATATATAAGCATACCATTCTTAACCCCTTTTTGTTTTTATTTTTTTATAGTTTTTATATATTTTGATAGATATCTGACCAAACTGCTCCTGAACAGGAAAACCCTTCCTCTTCTTGACATATCTATTGTTAAACAAGTCACTCAAAAGGGAAACAAACATATTGGAGAGTGGTTGTCATCCTTGTAAAATTTTAAACCCTCCATAATATTCAAACCTTCTAAGGTAGTTGTCTTTTTTGTTAATCTCAAAATAATTCCAAGGCCCAGAAAGTGGGAACTTGTTCTTAAATGTAAGAAACGCTAGATGATATATATCTGAACAGCGTAGCCTCCCTATTTTGCAATAGATTTGTCAGTTTTATCTATTGCTCACCCAAAATTGACAAATAAAATGCTTATTAGTGAGTTATAAAGTGTTTACAGATCAATTAACCATTAACTATTTAACTATTAGATGATAAGTAAGATGGTAAATGTCATCTGAGACATGCAATTCAAATGCTGGCATCCAGGACGGTGGCTGATCAGTCACATGAGATCAACTAATCTTTCTCTTTATTAGCAATGACTTTTTTTCCGCAAAAGCACCTTCAAGCTAGCATAAAAAACCTTTACCCTAATTTTATCCAAATAAAACCATGTTTACTGAGCTCCTATGAAATACCTCAAAATGTGCATTAAAAAAAAATATTGATACAAACACCATCTCCGTAGTGCCAAAGGGGAATGTTTTACAGATATCCATACAGTTGACTTTGGAAGGCTTAAAAAAAAGCATTATATAAAAACGTTTAACTGTAGAAGTTGTTGAATAAAATATTTAGTGGTTTTAAACTTTCTGTGGTTTGCAATTTTTGAACAGCTGGATTAAAGTGTAGTGATGGACGCGAACCTTTGGAGGCTTGAACATTTCCAGGATTAAAGGGCTAATGTCTCAGCAGGACACCCAGAGCTGCTAGGTCTAGTGGCCCAAATCTGCTCTCCAAAAATGGAGAAGCAGTGTTTAGTTCTATATCCACCAATCTGGAATAAACTCCCAGAAAACTGTAAAAATGCATAAACCCAGAGTTGCTTTACAGCAAGGTTAAAGGCCTATTTTTTAGTGTCCTTTAGTGTCTTTAGTACATATTTCTTTTCTTTGTCTTACTAATCATTTTATACCTTATTTTTTAATTTAGTTATTATTTAATTATATGTGCTAATTATTCAATAGCCTTTATATCCCTGCAGTGCAGTGTAATAAGTTTCTTCTTCCATGTAAAGCACTTTGAATCATCTTGTTACTGAAATGTGCCGATCAATTCTCCCAATTGACACATTGTCCAGTTGCAAATTATTGTCCTAAAAGCTAACGCTTTTTATGGCATGAGCTACTGCCGAGTTTGTTCAGGTGAAATCTTTATTAGGGTTTAGACAGGATTAAGTAACTCTAATTTAATGCTTTTTAATGCTTTTAATGCTCTTAGAAATAATAATGCCATCAACAAGTACCCATGACTGACTGACAAAATAACACGGCAAAATCATCATCTTTACCATCGACAGGCTGCAGCCATGTCCCGAATTCCTCGTTTTCCAGCCACTTTTGTTGAAATTCCCTAGCATTTTAACCGCCTCAAGCTTCTTTTCCGAACATACGGCTTTAGGATCAACCAGAAGCACTTCCACGCAGATATATTGCGTTTTTTTATAAAGCATTTTAAATGCCACGATAATCACATTTAATTTTAATGCCAATTCAAGGCCTTCATTTATAAAAATAATAATTTAATGATTTTTAATGACCCGTGGAAACCCTGTTTATGTAAACAATGTTCTGATGTGGTAGTTGATACCTGGAAGATGACGAGGAAGAGGTTTTTCTGCTCACTCTGAGCAGACTCCACCTTCTCCTGCAGCCTCTCGATCTGCTCCTCCAGCTGACCTTCATCGTCCTCCTCGCTGTTTTTCTCCATGTCCTCATCGTCCCCGCTGTCACGCTGTTAGGACAGAAACAGAAGTAATGTAAGTGAAGGTTAGACTGGTTCCTTCCTGCCATGGGTAAACATATGCTGATTAAGTTAAGCATGTTTTCTGGTCATTTCTTTTTTTTTGGTGAAAAAAAAAAGTTTCATGTTTTAGCAAAACATGATCTGTTTTCATCTTTGGAACTCATTTGACATAAAAGTTCTGAAACACCCCCCCTCCCTTTAGGTTACCCTCTTGTGCTGCTGCTTCTCCAGTTTTTCTTTAGCTTCTTCCAGCTCCTTCTGGATCTTCTGCACGTGTTTGTTCATCTTTCGGATGGTCGAGTGCAGGATCTCCCAGATGAAAAGTCTAAATAAATGGAATTACTTTAAGTTACAGATGATATAAGAGAGGAAATCAGGGTAGGGGAGCAAACGCTGTGTACATACATGATTTTACAGCAAATTCAAATGCAATGACAAACTCAAAGAAATGTACTAAAACCAACAATAAGCCAACAAGCAAATAAAAAACAACAATAAGACGAACACACAAAAACAAAAACCCTATTTAAAGAAGAAAAAAAAAAAGATACAAATGAGAAAAGCTGCAACAACATAAAATTGAGAACATCAAAGCCGAAAAATGCTTCAAACGCAAAAACCTTTGCAAATATAAAACTAACGCTAACACACTAAACAATACACACAGGGAGTAAAAGCAGGGAGTAAAAACATCTGCAAGTTGAGAAAAGCTGTAAACTAGCACTGCAAAACAGAAGTGCACCAGATCACAAGGGGGAGACCATCACCATCTCATTTGGGACCCTTAATGAAGGTTCAAGAGGGATACTCGGAGATACAGGCCATCCACTACCAATTTCAGTCGTAGGGAAATGGCTGTTCCAACGGTTGCAGTTACGAATTCTCCCGAGTCGTGCCCCGACTTTACAGGAGTGAATAAAGTAAAGTTGTACAAGCAGAATGATTTCAAATTTAAATACGACTACCCTATGACTAAGTATCGAGTGTCCCTCACAATGAAGTCACACTTGCAGCTCTGACTTTTGGAGGGTCTCTTCCCTTCAATGGAAAACAAAAGAAGCTGTTGCTGTGGTGATGCCCTATTTTTGCCTCTTTCTTAATAATAATAATATAAAATTTTTACAGAGGACCTGAGAAGGAGGCCTGTCAAAGAGGGCCCGTTTGGGATTGGGTCCAAGTGTTTAAAAAAAGGCTCAACTGAAAACGTACCCTTTCTTTCCTTTGGATGTCCTTCAGCACACCATTTATGTTTTTGTAAGGATCTGCTGCATAATCATTATTTAAAGAAATCCTTATGTTCTGAAGTTAATGTTCATCTCCCACTAGTGTCTGGAGCACTTCGATTATGACACTTTTTTAAAATTTGCAACGGTTTTTCCTACTTGCATGTTTTTTGTGTTGGCTTCATTTTTTTTTTTTTTGCTTGCTAGTTTGCAAGAGCTTTTGAATTTGCTATAAAATCCTGTATTCAAATGATGTTTGCGCTCCTTAGCCACCTTAAGAAATACTTAAAAAACATTTTATCCACGTTAACCACAAACTGAATTATTTTAATTGAAAGCTCCTTGAACCTTCAGCTGACGTTCTGCAGCTCACCTGGTGAACTCGTGAGCCATGTCCTGAGAGAAGAGCCAGTTTGCGACAGCAGCACAATCCACGATCTGCGTCCGAATCATTTTATCCACCAACACAGCGATCATCTGAAACACAAAGTCAAACCACTCAACCCATTGGAGCTGCTGTTTTTGTTTGCATTCATTTCTCCCTTGGCGCCTTTTGTGTGGCTACCTGTGGGTGGTTCCTCCACACTTCATAAACCACTTTTAGGATATGCAGCTTCCCATCGTCACTTTCTGTCAGGGCTTTAAGGATCTCATGAAATCTGGAACGATTCAACGTAACAAATTTGTTATATGCGTTTCCCCTGTCCATGTATTGGTAGATATATGCATGTGTTAATCAGCATTTCTTTCTTGTTTGTAAAAGTGTGATGTATTATTGTGTTTATAATCGTATAAATGTTTCCTTTGCTGGTAGGAACCTACTTGCCAAGCGCACTGAAGGAGTGGCTAAAGGATTTAGCAGCCAGGTGGAGAAGGGTTTGCAGAAAGACGTCGATCTTCAGTGGGTTGAAGGTTTCACCCTCATCTGCAGAGGCAGAACAAAAAATAAATAATAGAAAAAGGACACTTGACAGAAACTATACAGAAATAAGAGCCCTTATGACCACAAAGCATAGAAAGGAAAATGCACTATGGAGATAAAAAATCTAGGCTGTGTGGTACACAATCCATTTAAAGTAGAACTGTTTTTCCCATTTCAAATCTGATCAGATCTATACAGAACATCTAATTTGTGATCTTTGTACGTGCAGCACTGGTAAATAATCCATGTTTGTTAAACTAAAATGGCACCAGACAGCAGTATATTTTCAAACCTCAAGAAAAAGTGCTTGTGTTTAAAGACTTGGGACGACCAATTATGACTCAATTAGGCACATGTTGTCAATCCGCAATTACTGGGTTCCACCAAAAGGAGGCATTGCTTGCCTAATGCGACAGATTTACCTTATCAGTGTTGCCACAGAGAAACCAAAATGGGAACAGTAATCGCACTGTACTGGTAGAAAGCAGCTAGGAGTTCAGACGTTTTTGAAAAATCTAAGGTTAATAGAACTGCCATTAATAAAACTAGGAAATAGGAAGGCAGGCTAAGCTATGAAATGTATGTCACACTTTTATCACATTATTTCCAGACACTTATCTAAATTAAATAAAACAGATATTTAACATCATCTGAAATAGATGTCTGTCTTTTGATGAAAATGTTTAATATTCTTCTTTCCAATTTGGGTCTAGTTTCAGTCTGGAGATCTAAGTCATAGTTTTAGTCTCATGAACACTTTAATTCAGATTTAGTCAGATCTCAGGCTAAAAGAATCTTGAATAGATACCTCATTCAAAATGTTAAGCTCTGATTGATCATGCTGTCTTTATTTTGAACAAAACGGTCCAGGCACTTGAGCTCTGGGCCAAATTTTCAAATTCATACAAATATATTAATGTCTTAAAAAAATTATATAACAAAGACTGGGGGATGACCACCCTCACCCAACTTTAATGCAAAAATGTGCAGGTCTATGCAGAACAGGGCATGATTGGAGCTACTCTGTGAGAGAGCTGAGGTCTAATTAATGTGGTCAGTAAATAAAAAAAGTTAAATGGAATATATATATGTGTGTGTGCGCGCGTGTAACCATATTTCCATATTTTGTATATATCTGCTGAAGTTGCCAAAAATAATTGTGTTCTCTTTTTTCATATAAAATGTATTTCTTATGTAGCTTATAACTTCTTGTGATTTTTGATGGCTCCATTTGGGCCAAATGGTAAAACTAAAGAGCTGGTTATCCTCCTGCAGCAGTGTGTCGCAGTGAGATTGTCGCAGATATTTTTGATTTATGCCCAATTTTGAAGCGTGG